GACATACTTTGTCCTATTCATACTTCACAGTTTCTGCCAGGACCCCCAGTGGCACACAAGGGAGGGAGGCAGCATGAGGCCTCCCTCCCCTCTCAGCCCTCTCCTGGCATTTCCTCCTGGGATGAGAATAGCTGGCTGTCTGCTAGGATGAGTTGGGGAAACCCAGGGGATATAAGCCTGTCTTGGTGTCTTCCCCCATGTCTCCACCAGGAGGAGCTGATCCAGGAGCGATGGGAGCATAGACCTTGTCAATCCTCCCCCAAAGGGAGGGACCCCACTGACATGCCATGGTTGACTAGGTACCAGTATGGACTTCCTCTCCTTTTCTCAGACCAGGCGCCCTGGAAAATGGAGAAGCTATGCTAACAGAGGGGACAAGGAACCCACACTCTAGAATGTTGGGAGACTCCTACGACGCGAGGCCAGTGACTTTCTGGAAATGTTTATTCTGGCCCCACCCGTTCCCAAGCAGTCCACAGTTCGCCGGGGATGGGGCTTGAACAGAGTTGGAGCCAGAGGTGGGAGGTGGGCTCCAGGGGAAGGATGAGGACGCCTCTCTCAGACCATCTTGCAACCTCGATTCAGCTCTGCCGCCCCGCCGCTTAGAGGGTGACTGTTGTCCGCGCGTCCCTCCTTTGGCTCTCGTCCGCCCCCTCCGCCTCTCCGAACCAGCGGGATCCGGGCGGCGCTCGGTCCGGCTCTCCCACCCCGAGTTGGCACGGAGGTGCGGGCGCCAGAAGGCCCCAGGCGCCTCGAGGTCTTGCCCTGGGTGCCTTCCCTTTGCGGGGGTGGGCGCTGTCTTCCGGGTGGGGGCCACGTGGCTCCGGCCGGGCGGGGGGCTCGGCCCTCCCGTCGCGGGCCCCAGTGACTCAGGCCGCAGCTGTTCCCGCGTCACATGAGGGAGGCGGCGGGGGAGGGGGCTGTGGCTGGAGCCCGGGGCGGGGCGCTCAGGAGGCGGGGCGGGAGCTGGGGGCGCAGCTAGAGAGCCCCTGAGCCGCGGCGGGAGAGGAGCGCACAGCCTCGGGGAGCCCAGGTGAGGGCGCGGGCCCACGGCGACCTCGGCGCGGGGGGCCTGGGGGCAGACCGCTGGCAGTCCCCTCCTCCAGGGACTCGCCCCGGGCCTCGGAAGACCCGCCCCGCGCTCTCCAGCCGCTCTCGAGGCCCTCGGGCAACTTTGCTTCAAAGTTCCCGAAGCCCCGGCAGGGTGCGGTGCGGGCGCTCGCCGCACTTTTTGGGGGACGGGGAGGACAGAGCCCGGGAGAAAGTGGCCGGGGCATCGGGTTGGGCTAAGGACCGTTTTTCAGGGCTGGTTGGGCGGGGAGGGGGTGTTTGACGCCTGGGGGCAGGCGGGCCGATGGCTGGTGTCAGGCCCGAGCCCCTGCGGGGCAGCCCTCGGGTCCGTCCTGGGCCCGGAGGCGGCGGGGCGGGGTCCGGGCCTCGGGCCGTCGCGCCCGCCCCTCTCCCGGCGGGCAGGAGAGGGGGCTGGGAGACGTGGATCTGACCGCGGGGTTTCCGGGTGGGAGGGGCCGGGAGTGGGGCCGGGCAGGGAAGGCCTCGAGGGCCGAACGGGAGCGGAAACCGAGGTCCCCCTCGGGCAGTTCTAATCCCCCCGCCCTCCCCTGCGGCCCAGGCCCGGCAGCCATGGCGGTGGAAGGAGGAATGAAATGTGTCAAGTTCTTGCTCTACGTTCTGCTGCTGGCCTTTTGCGTGAGTGGGGAGGGAGTGCGATGGGGGCTCGCTGGCAGGGTGCGGGGAGACCTGGCTCCGGAGTGGTGAGTGCTGAGGGACCAAGAATGAAGGCAGCTGGAGACCAGATGTGGAAGGAGAGCCCCAGGAGAGACAGCACGGCCACCCCTTCCTCCCGCGTTCGTGGACCCCTGAGACTTATTTCGACAGATAATGACCATGACCATCCCGGGTGTGAGGCACCTCCCATACCCACCCCTGCTGGCCCTTCCTGTCTGGTGACCCAACCACTTGTGATACAGGGGCAGTGGGGCAACCAGCCAACGGTGCCTGATGCTATCGCCACGGGGCTTTCCTCCACGCTCCTGTCTCCCCTCGCTTCCTCCTCCACCCCCTCATCCCTCCATTCCCTCTCCGCCCAGCTGCTTGGGGGCCAGGAAGGCCTCTGCCCACCTCAGTTTGCTCTTGCCCTGGGCTCCAGGCTTGGGAGGCTACCGTTTGCCCAGGGAGGGGCACACCACTCTTGTCCCCTTTTCCTCCTCCCTGGCCTAGCTGGGAGGAACCTTAGGCACAGCTGATGCACGTGAGGTGGGCACTAGAAGGTAGTGATGGGCAGTTCTGGAAGAGAATTGAACTGGGAGCCCATGGAAAGCACCAATCTAGGTCAGGAATTTGTGCCCTGGGGTCAGGGCTTTCCAGGAACTCTTTTTACATTTGCTTATCCCCCTGGTGGAAAAGCTGCTTGGAGAAAGGCCTGGCTCCTGACTCCCGACTCCCTTTTCCCTGAGTGTGCTGAACACTTCACCAGCCTTCACTGGAGACAGTGGGGGGCAAGGATGGGTCATACCCCTACTCCACAGTCAAGTTTCCTGGGGGTGTGAGGATCTGTCTCCTGGTTGGGGTGAAGTCTGTGTCCTGGTTGCACTCCCTGCCCTCCCCTGTGAAGGACTGCTGGGATATGGGTATGGCTTAACCTCACCTGCCCTCCTTTCAGGCCTGTGCACTGGGACTGATTGCTGTGGGTATAGGGACCCAGCTTGTCCTGAGTCAGACCATCACCCAGGGGACTACCCCTGGCTCCCTGTTGCCTGTGGTCATCATTGCAGTGGGTGCCTTCCTCTTCCTGGTGGCATTTGTGGGCTGCTGTGGGACCTGCAAGGAGAACTACTGTCTTATGGTCACGGTGAGTGGAGTGTGGGACCCCCGCTCCTTCCGGATGCGTGTGGGACTGCTGGAGGCCATTTTTGTGGTTGGGATTCATGAGGGTGGGTGAGGAAGACCTTTGTGAGTGGTCCCGGGACTGGCTGTGCTACAGCAAGCCCTTCTCATCCATAGACTCCAAACCTGACTCCTGTCCTTTGCTCCTGTAGTTTGCCATCTTTCTGTCTCTTATCGTGCTGGTGGAGGTGGCCGCAGCCATTGCTGGCTACGTGTTTAGAAATAAGGTAAGCAGGGAATAAGGGGAGGGCCTTCCTCAGCCTGGTGTGGGACCCAGGTGCCTGAATTCTGACCTCAACAGTGAACTCCCTACTCTCAGGTGAAGTCAGAGTTTAATAAAGACTTCCGGCAGCAAATGGAGAATTATCCAAAAAACAATAATACAGCTTCAGTCCTGGACAGGATGCAGCAAAATGTGAGTGGGGTTGCTGGGAGCAGGGGTAGTGGGGGAAGAGAATTCTCATCTCCATATTGAAGGCAGAGGTTCACTTAACTTTCTCCCCCATATCTCTTCCCTTTCCTAGTTTAACTGCTGTGGGGCTGCTAACTACACAGACTGGGAGAACATCCCTTCCATGGGCAAGAACCGAGTCCCTGATTCCTGCTGCATCAATGTCACTGTGGGCTGTGGGAGTAATCTTGAGAAGATATATACAGAGGTAGGGAGGAGACTGAGATAGTATGGGACTTGGGAAACCTAGGAAATGTTTCAGGAGGCAAGAGACCTGGGATGGGGGTGGACTGGGTCAGGGATGGGGAGGGGATTTGGAAATGCCCAGAGGGCAGGGAAGAGACAGATGGACCAGTGGAGGTGGATGGGAAGTTTCTGATGGTGCTCTTGCATTGTGTGCCTGCCACCCTCTAGGGCTGTGTGGAGAAGATTGGGAGCTGGCTGAGGAAAAACATGCTGTTGATAGCTGCAGCAGCCCTGGGCATTGCTTTTGTAGAGGTGAGAAATAGCCTGGGCAGGGGCTGTGAGTCCGTCCAGGGCATCTGGGGAGTGGAAGTTTGGGGAGGAGGGTACTGAGCAGGAGGTATTGGCCTGGAGATGGTGTGTTTGGGGTCTCTTGCATGAATCTGGGGTAGCTTGCCCTTCAACTCCTCTCTACCCCCATCTCTACCTCTCCTTCCAGGTCTTGGGAATTGTCTTTGCCTGCTGCCTCATGAAGAGTATCCGAAGTGGCTATGAGGTGATGTAGGGGGTCTGGTCTCTTCAGCCCCCTCATCTGGGGGAGTGTAGTAGTATCCTCCAGGTTTTTCAATTAAATGGATTTTTTCAGACCCACAAGAGAGATGGTCTCAGTTTGTCTAAGAGTGATATATGTTCCCTTCCCTCTCCTCCATGTTTCCTGTCCTCTGGGACCTTGCTCTGTGCACCTCTGGGACAGGCAGGCCTATTTTTTTTGGAAGGGGAGAGGTGTTTGGGAAAGGGATTTTGCTGAAGGTGTTGGTTGGGCTGGCAGCAGGAGAAGTGGGGATCCAGAGGAGGCTGTGGCCCTTCCTGTCCTCTAGTCTTGTACAGCCAGGCTCAGCACTGGAGCATTCATGAAGCCATCTGCTGCTAACATCAGTGATTTCCCACACAGTTCCTACCTGAGGGAGCCCAGCCCTACCTTGGACACCTCCTTGGCCTTCTGCACACCTCTAAGGGCCCAACAACTAACTCCCTGGCCCATCCTTAAAGGGATCCGGCTACTTTCAGGGTGGTACTAACTTGCCTTGACATCTGAGTGGCCAGTGTTCCTCCTTCTTGACTTCTTAGATAGTAGGAATTAAGATAAGTATTGTCTTTTCTTCCATGGCAACCACCCAGCATGACCCTGACCTCTCTTCACTTTCCCTCCTCTCCCAAGAAAAATAAAGGCCATTCCCAGTACAGACACAGAATTGCAACCTTACTCCGCGTAGAAAATAAAGGAAATCTTCGAAAGTGCCCTCTGGTGGCCAACTCCTGGAGGTGCAGCTTCGAAGATCAGCCATAGATGCAAGACAACTTCCTTGTGCCCCGCAGTGGCTGCTAGCTGTTTTGCAGGCACTAAACAGGCCAGAGACCTCGGGCTGTAAGTCAGCTTAGGGTAGTTAGCACTTAAGTGGGCTCAGTCTGCCCCTGGGCATCTTCATTTTGGCCCACTTTTTTTTTTTTTAACAATACACTTTTATTGAGTGTCTATTTTGTGACAGACACCAGCCAATACCAGGGCAGGGACATAAATAAAAGTCCCTGCCCTTGAAAAACAATCTCTTGCGGGAAGGCTGGGTTCAGCAGACTGCCTGGGCAGGCTTGGGAAGGACCCAGGTGAGCACAGCATCCACCAGGCTGGCTGGCAGGTAGGAGGCGGGCAACCAGAGCAGCTTGGCATCCCAGCCTGGGCTGTAGCGGGTTCGGGGGTGACGAGCAGTCAGGGCATGCTCCACACACTTGCTCACCTTGGTGAGGTCTGGGTCACAAATCAGGTTCATGATGCGCCGCTGCACTTTCAGGTCTGCAGTCGGAGAGTGGTTGCAATCAGTTTCCCTTCTCCACTCCAGCCCACCTTAGGTCCTATCTTCTGGGTCCTAGGGCTTGTTGCCCAGCAGAGGTGAGAGGTATCCTCAGTCCCCTCCCCAATGTGGGGTGTGGGCGGGTTCCACACGGCCAGGGCACTCTCCTGTGCATCCCATTCATACCCACCTTCTCCTGACAGGCTGATGTGGGGTGGGATTGGCCTTGTTGGTGCTCTCATTTCCCTTCAGGTACCCCTATGTATGGGTCCAGCTACTCACACTTGGTGAGGAAGGCCTCCCCATAGAGGGCCTGTGTGGCTGGAGGTAGCCGTGCCCAGCAGGCCTGCAAGGTGTTCTCCAAACTCTCCAGGTTGGTCACAGGGGTTCGGAAGAAGCCAGGCTCCACGATGCAGACTCGTACCCCAAAGTGAGCCATGTCCCGCCTGAGTGGGGGCAGAGGGAAGTTGCTTGGTCCTTGCCCTGTAGGGAGGGGACTTTCAGGGACATGGGTGGAGCAGCTAAGATGAGAAAGTTACCAAAGATCAGGGACAAAATTCCTGATAGTAAGGAGATTCCTGCTGCTCTGGGACAAGGGGCAAGTGGGGCAGAGGGAGGGAGGCATTTTTGAGGTTTTTCTTTCTTTATATTTTCTATGATCTAGAGCAGGGGTCAGCAAAATTTAAAGAGCCAGAGAGTAAATATTTTAGGCACTGCTGGCCAAGAAACAAAATTAATGATATTATTAGGTACTTACATAACCATTTACAGTATAACCAGTTAAAAATGTAAAAACCATTATTAGCTTGTAGATGGCTGCCTGGACCTGGTCTGAGAATTGCAGTTTGCCAATTCCTGATGTAGAGGTGCCCCATTCCCTAGCTCCCAAAACAGGGTTGAGCCCTGAGTGCTGGATATGAAGGGTATAGACTGGTATTTGCTGGAGGGTAACCTAATGGGGAAAGATACATCCCATTGCCCTGCACAGATGTAGAAATCTAAGTATAAAGTATGTGTTCTATGATGCCAACTGGAAAATTAAAGACTGAAGGATAGGGACAAAGACATTTAAATTTTTTGCTGAGTGGTGGTGACAAGGGCAGGCTTTCTTGGAAGGTGGGCTCAACTTAGGCAACTTGAACTTCTCAAAATTCAGGCCCTGCTCCTCTGCCATCCTCAACAAGTCTCCTTTGTATTCCCATGGAACTTTGAACATTCTTGTATAAAGAAGAGGGGCAGGAGAACATTATGACCAGGCTCTCCAGGCAATCAGATGTGGGGGTGAGATATAGTGCTTCCCCTAACTATTAAATAGTTGTATATTAATACCTACCCTTATAAGGTTGTTGGGAGAATTAAATGAGGAAATGTTATGTAAAGCTACTAGCTCACTGTAATAGTTATTTTTGAAACAGAGTCTTACTCTGTTGCCCCTGCTAGAGTGCCGTGGCATCAGCCTAGCTCACAGCAACCTCAAACTCCTGGGCTCAAGCGATCCTTCTGCCTCAGCCTCCTGAGTAGCTGGGCCTACAGGTGTATGCCACCATACCTGGCTAATTTTTTCTATTTTTGGTAGAGACAGGGTCGTGCTCTTGCACTCCTGAGCTCAAACGATCTGCCAGCCTTGGCCTCCCAGAGTGCTATGATTACAGGTGTGAGACACCGTGCCTGGCCTGTAATAGTTATTATTATTATTTTTTTTGAGACAGAGTCTCAAAAAGTTGGGTCCTTACATGTACCTCATTTCACTCACAACCCAATACCCATGAAGCAGGTCTTCTCATCCTGATTTAACAGGTGAATTAGTTAAAAACTGGTAAAGGGGGTGGTTTGGTGACTCATGACTATAATCCTAGCACTCTGGGAGGCCCAGGCAGGAGGACTGCTTTACATTAGGAGTTCGAGATCAGCCTGAGCAAGAGCGAGACTCCATCTCTACCAAAAATAGACAAAATTAGCCAGGTGTGGCGGCACACACCTGTAATCCCCACTACTCGAGAGGCTGAGGAGGATCACTTGAGCCCAGGAGTTTATGGTTGCAGTGAGCTATGATGATGCCACTGCACTCTACCTGGGGCAACAGAGTCAGACTCTGTCTCCAAAAAACAAAACAAAACAAACAAAAAACCGGTAAAGAGTAGTAATCTACTTAGGGTCACAAAGCTCACGAGAAGGCTGGGATTTGAACCCATGGTCTAGCCCTAAACTCTCTCTTCTTAAATATTTCACTATGCTGTGTCTTAATCATCTCTGCCAGCCCATGCCAGGCAATAATTTGTTTGTTGAGTGGGCTGCCCTTGGGCTTAGAGCCCGGAGCCCTGTACCCCTCACCTCAGGCTGTCAGAGAAGGCCTCCAGGCCAAACTTGGAGATACAGTAGCCCCCACCATTGGCTGCCAGGCGACCCAAGACACTGGTGATGTTGACCACCCGTCCCCGTGCCTGCTGCAGCAGAGGCAACAGGGCAAGGGTGACCCCGATGGGACCCAATGTGTTCACATTCAGCACCCGATGGAAATCGTCTTGTGTCAGCCATGGTGTGGGCCCGATGATACCAGCCACACCAGCATTATTCACCAGACCAAAGAGCCCTGTGGGGAGATGAGAAAGACACCAGGGGTGGGTGAGGCACTCACCCATTCTCCTTCCTGGGAGCATCTGAACACTGTTCCTCCCTAACTAGTCCCTCTGGCTTCCTGCAGCCCCTGCAAGAAGCGGGTACCATAGAGATCAGGATCTTCCCACACTGTGTTCCTGTGGCTGCGCCATACTCACCTGCTTCTCTGACGTGTGTCTCTACCCACTTGGCTGCCTGATGGACGCTCTGGGGATCAGTGACATCCAGCAGGGTGGTGTGGAGGTGGGAGGAAGCCAACCGCTGTAGGTCTTCTGCCCCTGAGGGGGTCAGGCAGCTGGCCAGGACTCGGAAGCCCCTCTGGTCCAGTTGAAGTGCCAGAAGGCGCCCGAAGCCCGAGTCACAGCCAGTGATGAAGACGAAGGCATTGCTGGCAGGCAGGCTCTGCCGGTCTCTGAGCAACCACAGCACTGCCCAGAGCAAGGCACCCAGCAGCAGTGGCAGCCACATGGCCGGAACCCACGTGACCTGCAGATGGCAGCCTAGGTTGGGCAGGAAAACTTGTCCCATTTACTTTGGCCCTCAAGCCCTTTCTCCTAATAGCTTTCCTAGCTGGAAGTGTCTGGTCTGAGCAGATGGAGAAATTACCTGCCTGGCAGATAACTGGCTCATCTATGCATGCAAAACCGTGGGCAGACCCTATATTTGAGGCTAACAACTAAAAGCCAGGTCCTGTATGGGAGCAGAGGCATCTTCTTGCTTGCTGTCACACCTCTCCTACTAAAACCAGGGACAGCTGAACCCTCTAATTGTAAACTGGGCCTGGTTTTTAGAAACACAAACAGGGCCAAGAGCCTTGTATTTTAGTCCTGTGCCTCCCAAACTTGCTGTGTGATGCTGAGCATCTCACTGCATCTCTGAACATGTTTTCTCATCTACTATGTGGGGCTAACACCCACCAGGCCTACCTCAGAGTTGTGGAGGATCAAAGGGGATAGTGTGCGAGGGAGCAAGTTAAAAGCTTAAACTCGTCTGTCAACGAGTGTAATATCTAGGTAGACTTCCCACAGCACCCTCAGCTCCCACTATCCCACTTACCTCCTCTGGGGAAAGTTGGCAGGGACTACAATGCCTGCAGCTTCTTCTTTTGCTTTTGTCGGAGAGACTGTGCTCCCAGTCTTCCCCGGCTCCCACACTAGCCACAGGAAAGGCCAAAGTCTAGACTGGGTGGATGTGGGTGCCAGGAATATTAAGTATATGTGTGCTGGGGTGGGCGGAGGGCAGAGGAGGAGCCAGAGAGGCTGGAGCCTGCCTGGGTAAAGCCCAGGCTTGGCAGAGGCCAGGCATGCCCGGCCCCCTCCTTGGCTGTTTTTCTCAGCCTAGGTTCCTGACCACCACCTATGTCATAGTCTCCCAAGAGGATGGTGCTGTCAAGGATGGCAGCTGCCCCTCTTTGTTGGTAGCCTTCCACCTGTCATTCTTCCCCCTTCTCAGCCCTGAAATGCCCCCAAGAACTAATCTCCCACCTGGCTCAGACTCATGACACTGCTTAGTGTTAGCCTGGGAGAGGCCATGAGCACGTGGAGAGGCAGAGAGCCAGGCCTGCTCCCTGTCTTATTTCTCCTCTGCAGGAAACTGAAGTCCTGAATTAGGAAGCTTGGGGCAAGGGCTAGAGGGACCTTCTCTGGGAAGGTATGGGAAACTCCCACTTTCTGCTTACCCCACAGGCACCTACACCAGGCCAAGGAAAAGAGAGTTGGGATAGTAAGAGGAAGCAAGTTCCACCCTCTACCCAAAACATACCTGTCCTTCAGGGAAACCACCTTTGAACCTGCTACTCCCACTCCCCACACTGGAGCTAGTAGCTCCTTGAAACACACCATAGAAACAGAGGCTGTTTTATTCATGGCCCGTCAGTCTCTCTCCTGTCCGAATAGGTGAAGTAGGAAGGATGGGGTGGGGGAGGCACAGGGACTAGGAAGGGGCAGATTGCAGCTGCCCTTTGTAGACATATTCCAGTGCGGTGGCAATGGTGCGCATGTCCAGCTCGATGCTCCGAGCCCAGTTCTCCACATCCCCGATCTCCTGGGAAGAGGGAGAGGAGGTAGGAGGCCCAGGAATCAGGGGGGGTGGAATGTGGCTTCCAGGCTGGGGGGTACTTTTCATCTATCTCCTGGAAAGGGCTTTACCTGGATCCACCAATGGCTTTTATTTCTTTCTCTAGCTTCTCTGACACTGGGGCCATACATGGGGTTTCTAGGACCATCCCCAGTTCCTCCTTGTCCCAGAAGTGACCCAACTGGAGAGAGCCAATAGGGGCCCAGGAAATGGGTAGTGATGTAGGGAGCGTGGCCCACCTTGAGTGCCTGGTTGAAGTTCTCCACCATCCCGATCCACTGGCCTGTCTGCTTGGCAAATTGGGCAGCCTGGACTTGTAGGGTCTTCACCTCATGGTCCAGCTTTCTCTGGTTCATGTAGGCCTGGGCCACACTGGAGGTTGGAGGAGGAAGATCAGCTCATCCAGCCAGTGGGGGTGGTCTCCAGGACTAACATTCCATTGCAGTAGTGGGAGGTCAGCCAGGAGCCAGGGCTGGCGAGAACCTCATGATTTTGGCCATTTTTGGATGTGATGCAAATGACTACCAGTACATGCAAATGAACCCAGCTCCTTCCTCTCACTCAGGGGATTCCCAGGAGAGCCATGCTGGGAGCTGACCAGAAACATACCATCTCCAACCCCCAAAAGGAGTTCCTGCAGCTGGGTAGGGAAGGAGAGGGTTAACCTTGGGGGATATCCCTAAGGAAAAAGATGGGTGGGAAAAGGGGACATAGCAAAACTGGGAAAATCCAGCAACCAGGACACATCTGGCAGTGATTGGAAGCCCAGGGATCTGTCCAAGTAGTTGGGAAGGGGAATTGGGGCCCCTCCCTCAATCTGGGGTGGGATGGGAGGCAAATCCCCTCCCCAGGAACCCTGGGTCAAGAGAGGATATCCCAGGGGTTTCTCCTTGGCTCTCAGTCTCTCTACCAACCCTTCTCCTTCGCCCACACAGATGAACACACACACACACACACACACACTCACTCTCTCTCTCTCCTCCTTCTGCCCTAGGCAATAGTTTTTCCTTTCTCAGTCAATCAAGGTGCTGGCTGTAGTTACCACTGTTACATTGGGGTTGGTGTCTCCAACCCTCTGCTAATGTTTCTTGCCTCTCTACCCACCACCCCCAGCAATAATTGTTCTTCCTTAGTGGTTCCTGATGAATATTTCACTTCCTACCCCAAAGCTCTAGTCAGCCAGGAGACCCCACATCCGGTACCCCCCACCCACTGGAATGTGTGGGGGCTGAAAGGGGAAAGGGGTTGGGGGATTGAGAGAGTGGGCAGGACACCTGACAGGGGCTAAGACAGACTGAGCCTTTGTTTTCTTTTCTGGGGAATGAGAGGAGCCGTGGGCAGCAACACAAAACCCTTTCTAATCTGGCTTTGGTTTAGCTGCCCTCTAAGCTAAGGAAGAAAAGCCTGGGCCAACCTCACAAATGATAGGCACAGCAGAGCCCAGGAGGCCCCCTTGTGGGAGAGAGAAAAGGGGATAGACCCTGTCCCTTCTCTTCAGGAGATAGCAGGGCCACCTTAGAGGGTGGGGCAGGAGCTGAAACAGATTCCTCTGGGAGTTCTTAAAGTCTGTTTTCCCTATTGACCTCCTGATTCTATCTTTACACTGAGTGAAGAGAGCCACCTGGAGGGAAGGCCCCAACCACAGCTTTCTTTTTCTCTAGTCTCCCCTGCCCTCACCCCGGATGAGTAATAAAGATGACCCCAGGCCCTGCATGGCTCACTTGGATGACTCAGTCTCTGGGTTCACAATCAAGCTGTTCTACCCCTTGCCCTGGGGTGGAAGGTATTATACTGCCTCCTTTCTTCCAGCCGACTGGATGCACTATCGAATCATCATCTCTATGCTCTTCTGGGTCACTCAGGGTCAAGAGAAAATATTCTTTGCTCCTTCCCAATCTTTGGCTGTTACTGGCATTCTCATTTAGGGATGGAGTAGGAGTGGTCCCTGGAGACCCAAAAGGAAGCGAAGAGACATCCTGGCCCTGCCACAGTTCCTGGCATTGGTTCTACCCTCATCCCTACCAGCTGTGCCATCTCTTTCCTGCCAGCTGCTTCCCAGACTTGCCAGAGGGTGGGAAGTGGAGGAAAGGGTGGTAAGCTGTGGTGAAGGAGGGTGCTTTCTCTCCTGCTGAAGTGACAGCTGGACTTGGAAGGGCAAAGGGAGCTGGGCAGATGGCATCAAGTTGTAAGCACCAGGGAAGTTAATGTGGGGAGAGGGAAATTTGGCTGTTTCTTCAATCACTGCAGCTGCTTCTCCCTTGCCCAATAATGGGGGTAAGAGCTGACTCAAGCCTCTCTCCATAAAGCTGGGAGGGGCAGGGGTAGAATAAGGGAAGGAGTGGAACATCCCATCCCTTTGAGTGCAGTCTGAGGGCCAGACCTTGCCAATGCCTAAACTTGGATGAGTTGAGGGAAGAGGTTCATACCCCACATTGAGGTGATCCACCAAAGCTTCTGTCAGGCAGGTCGCTGCAGCGATAGCCTCTCGCCTCCTCTTCTCTGGGGGGAGGGGAAAAAGGGATTGGAGATTTTTTTTTTAAGACAAGGTTTTGTTCTGTTGCTCCAGCTAGAATGCAGTGGTGGCCGGGCGTGGTGGCTCAAGCCTGTAATCCTAGCACTCTGGGAGGCCGAGGCAGGCGGATTGCTTGAGGTCAGGAGTTTGAAACCATGCTGAGCAAGAGTGAGACCCCGTCTCTACTACAAATAGAAAGAAATTAATTGGCCAACTAATATATATAGAAAAAATTAGCCGGACGTGGTGGCCCATGCCTGTAGTCCCAGCTACTATGGAGGCTGAGGCAGCAGGATTGCTTGAGCTCAGGAGTTTGAGGTTGCTGTGAACTAGGCTGACACCACGGCACTCACTCTAGCCTGGACAACAAAGCAAGACTCTGTCTCAAAAAAAAAACACAAAAACAAAAAAAACCAAAAAACGAATGCAGTGGTGTCATCATGGTTGACTGTAATCTCAAACTCCTGGGCTCAAGCAATCCTCCTGTCTCAGCCTCCTGAGCATCTGTGACTACAGGCACATGCCACCACCCCTGGCTAAGTTTTTGTATTTTTTTGTAGAGACAGGGTCTCGCTATGTTGCTCAGGCTGGTCTGGAACTCGTGGCTTCAAGCGATCCTCCCACCTTGGCCTCTCAAAATGCTAGGCATGAGCCACTGCAACCAGCTGAGCTTTGTTTTAATTTTCCCACCCATTTCTGCTATTCTGCCGGAATCATGTCAACTAACCTCAGAATGGCAGAGCTGAAGAGCACCTTGAAAAACATAAAGCAACCCCTTTCATTTTAGAAACGAAGAAACTGATACCCTGAGAGGTGAAGCGACTCGCTCAGGGACACCTAGGAATCAGTGGCAGTGCCCATGACTCCTGACTCCCAGGCACTCTTTGTCCACTATCTTAGCCGAAGAATCTTTAACTGCGGGATTCCCAGCCCGAATTCAGGAATAAGAGCCCCACCTGAGTTCCGGTGTTTTCTGGGCTTCCAGAATTCCCTCTCTGGGCCGTCCCCCGCACCCTCCATCCTGAGGGGTGGCCCTTCCTACTTCCAGGAAGAGAGGCTCCCTGGACCAATAGGCATGGCACTCCGTGAGCGGGAGGCGGGGCTGGAAAGCCGCCGGATTGGGGATTAGGGGCGTTGCCGAAGGGGACCAGAGTGTTGCCAAAGGGACCAGCGCCCGTCAACAACGGGACGGAATTTACAAAAAAGCTGCTCCATGATTCCCTCTCCACTATTCCCATTGCCCGCTAGCCGACGCCCTTCTCTAGATCTGGGCAGTTACTCGAGGTCCAGGCTCCGGGCTGAAGCTAGGCCGCAGCAGGAGAGAAAACAGCAGATGGGACATTCGGCTTACCCTGCAGCTCCTTGCGTTCATTTTGCTTGGCCTGGTGTTCTTTTAGCAGGCGGGACAGCATGGTCGCGACGGGTTGGGGGCTTGGGGCCGGGGCACGCCGGGCCCCCTCCAGCTCCGGAAGCTGGAACGCGCACCGTGGCTCCCCCGGGCCCAGGTCACGTGACCACCACGTCACGTGAGGCTGGGACCCGCCCTCTTTTTGAGAAGTGGGGTGGTTGATAGTGAAGATGTCGGTGGGCAAGGGAGGTAGAGGGTTGGGGGAGGGGCAGGTGATCTCTTTACTGGGAACTCACTTTTTAGTGAGTGTTAGAAGTATTTTTTAAATAGCCACGTTGCAGAGCCAGTTTTTAACATCTCCTTTGGATCTCAGGCTGAGGGGTGGAGTTGATGTTGTCAGGCCGTCCAGACCATTTGGTTGTTGGGAGAGCAGAGGCTCCCTGGACTCATTGAAATTCTTTTCCTTCTCTGGTCTTACCTCCTGGCAGTGCTGGCCCGTTCTCGGTTGAGTCCCCGGCTCATTCCCTCTAGGAGAGAATACTTTCTTCTGTTTTCCAACCCACTTCTCATCACCCCTCCGAGGTCCCTAAGCTCTGGGTGATCATTGTAGGGAAGCATTTTAGGCGTTTCAAGCGGCCTCCTAGGGAGCTTGGCTAATTTGGCCGGCTGTGTGTGGTGAATGTACAATTCCACCTCTGTCCTTTTGTGGTCAGGGAATGCAAACCCATTTCAGTCTTAGCAGAAGCATAAGTTCTGTTGCCAGAGTAAAGTGTAAATTATGTAACGCCTCTGAACTAAAGAGAAATGCTT